TTTTTATTTTGTTTTTGTTTTTGAGACAGGGTTTCTCTGTGTAGCCTTGTTTGTCCTGGACTCACTCTGTAGACCAGGCTGGCCTCAAACTCACAAATATCCACCTGCCTCTGTCTCCCTGAGTGCTGGGATTAAAGGCAAGCACTAATACACCCAGCTCAGTGTTTTTATCTAATCCCTAGTTGTCATTATCATTTTCATCTGTCTTGTGTTTGTGGGTTTTTCTTTTTTTCCATCACTCAGGTATTTATATTCACTAAATTCTTCCTCTTTATTTTTTCTTTATTTATTAAACTTTTTTTTTCATACAATATATTCTGATCATGGCTTTCCCATTTTCCAAATCAATGCTAGTGCAATAGTGGCACAAATATTGTAGGCATAACCAACCACTCTCTGATTTTACTTAAGTCCCGCTCCATGAGATAGAACCCATGCCTGCCACTACTTGGGTGCCCAAGAACTTGAGATTGGACAGGTCTACAGAAAAACCAAATAGTATTGCTATGCTATAAAATTATTCCTAAGGATATTGTGCCGTACCAATAGATCAGTGCCTTGCTCAGCCATCACCAGAGAAGCTTCCTTTTCCAGTAGATGGTAGCTAACCAGGGGCCTACAGTTGATCAACCTGCAGAATGAGAGATTGTGGTACATTTATTCCTTTCTCCTTAATTTCACTGGGCTGTGGTTTTTGTTTTGTTTGGATGTGTGTGTGTGTTCTTTAAACGCCTTGAATTTTTGGTGAAGTTTATGATTGTTTTAAATTCTGTCTCCTGTGTTTCATCTACAAAATCCTTATTGGCAGACATTTCTACAGTACTAGTAAGTTTTGAAGAGAAGATGTTGGCTTGCTCTTTTGCATTACTGGTATTTTTGTGATAAGATCTGGGCACGTGGACTCTTTTCTCCTTAGTTCTTAGTCTGATATTACAAAACAGGTTGGGGCTGAAGAGAGCATGTTGGGTGGGTGGAGACATTGGGCTTAGAGATTAGAATGACTTGGGTGGAAAGAAGTCAGGTGCATGGAGGGGACTAGGCTGGTGTACAGGATGTGCTTCCTGGTCTAAGTCTGGACTGTGGGGGTGGAAAGGTTGGCTATTGCATGGGAGGGTCCTGTGGGTTGGGAAATAGGTAAGGCAGATCTTGGGTGAAGCCTAGAGATCACTTGTTGTGCAGGCAGGGGTGGTCCTCAGAGTAGGTTTGGCTGGTTGTGGTAAAGATATGAATGGGGAGGTCGAGAGACTCATCTGGCCAGATGCTGGAGAAGGAAGTGGGGTGTCTGACTGGGTAGGACAGTTGTAAGAGATATATAGATCTGTGAGTTGCTACATGTCAGGAGGGCCCTCATGGAAGCCTACACTGACTGCAATGCAGCCGGGTATGGTTAGACTACCCTGGGACACTAGATGTGTGACCCAAGCTGGATCTGGCAGTTTTGGAGAAGACATGGATAGGGAAGTCAGGGAGACTTCTTAGGCTAGACCGTGGAGGTGGCTGTGGAAAGTTTTATTACTGAGTATTAGGAGTTCTTTATATATCATATATATTAATATTTCAGCAGATACATGAAACTAGTTATAACTAGTTTCTTCTAGGGAATAGCTTGATTTTTTTATTCCAGTAATAGTGTTCTTTGATGAGCATGTTTAATTAAAAAAAAATTTTTTTTAAAGTAGGATCTTCCTATGCAGTCCTGGCTGTCCTGTAACTCACTATGTAGATAGCCTCAGAGTCAAAGAGATCTTACATCTGCCTCTTAATGTTGAGATTAGAGACTTATGCCATGGCACCTAACAAATTATTAATTTTGATGAAGTCCAAGTCATGGCTTTTATCCTTTTTGTTGTCTGAAGTTTTGATATATCCCAAATGTCACTGTTCTATCTGGAGTCATTAAGCATATTCTTTTATGTCTTCTTATAGTGTCAGCTCTTACTTCTAAGGTTTTGTCCATTTGGATTTTTGTATATGATGTTAGCAAGTGAAAATCTTATTTTAATTACTCGTTTCTTTAAAATCTATTGTTTACCTATTTTATGTGTATGGGTATCTTCCTTGTACGCAAGTCTGTTCACTACATTCATGCTTAGCACCTATGGAGGGGAGGAGAGATCAGATCCTCTGGAACTGAAGCTACCTATAGTTGGGAACTGAACCTGTGTCCTGTGCAAGAACAAGTGCCCTTGACTGTTAGGCGGTCTCTCTGGCCCCAACAATATGTCTTTTATTTAGTACCATGTTGAAAATAGCAATTCAAATATTTACTTTTCTGCTCTTTAAAATGTTTCCTGAGTTTATTTGAATATGGTTGTATTCGTTCTTCCTGTTTTCTATCTATAGCCCAGCTTCCCAAGAAGAGGCACCAAGGGCTTAGACAAGTGTCACTGGCTCCTTGCCAGTTGGGAAAATGTACCCAAGACCATGACATATGACAGAGGAAACTCAGTGGCAAAATCAGGGGAATTACAGTTTGAATCTAATTCCTAACCTGGCATATATGGGTGTTAGTGTTTTAAGATGCCAAATAGGCTTTAAACTATTTCCTTTCTCTCCTTTCTTCCTACCATCCATCCACCTATCCATCCTTCTGTCTAACAATCCATCTATCCATTATCTACTTATCCATCTACTCATCCTCCATCCTCCCATCCTTCTATCCATTCTTCTACCTCTCAAACAAATATTTGTTGGATGCTACCTAGGGGCTGGTCATGGGAATTATGTTAAGGAACATATTCCAATATCCTACTTAAAATCAGGCAACATACAGGGCTCTTTAGAAGAGGGATGCCAATCAGCCAACAAAAGGTCAATGTGTAACTACAAACTGTGATATGAGCTCTAAAGAACTGCTGAACAATTAGAACCTGTCTAACAAATGACCTAGGCCCAGTCTCCAGACTGGAGGGAAAGTAGAAAGTAAGTGTTCTGCGGAGCAGCTAAGTACAAACACCCTGTAACTCGTTTTTTGTTTTTTTTTTAAATCTGTCAGGAGGCTGATTGCCAGTGCTGGGGTGATGAAGAGAGTAACGTGAAAGGGGGTACAGCTTTATATAGGGGCCAGCACCTGCAGGGAAGGCTGGACTCTGCCTGGACCCAACTCCCCTGCACAACCTGACTCATCTTTACTCAACATTTAGATCTCAGCTTGGGGGTTTCCTATCAGGGAAGCTGCTTTACCACATTCAGGCTGAGCAAAGCCCATGTATTTTCATTTGATAAGGAAAAAGTACCCGAAACTTGGAAGTAAGATAAAAGGAGTATCTGTTCTTCTCATTGCCACAGTAGAGCACTTTTTAGAAGCATTACTAAAGGATTAGTTAGTCCTGACAAGAAAAACACCAGCGTTTATGACGTTTGATTAGGGCCCAGATTTTACAAAGCTATGATATATGCCAGTTTGTCAATTTTGTCTGAGTGAGGGACAGATAGCTTGTTTAGCAAGAAAGATAACTCTCTAAGCCTGGTTTATCACCTTAGGGAATGTTAGCCAGCTATATCTCTAACTTGACTTTTTTTTTTTTTTCTCTTCTTAAAAGTCCAAGGGCACCCATTTCTTCTTGTCCACAGGACTGCCCTCCTGCAGAGGGACCTTTGCTCCCTGGCTGGTTCTCATTCTGTATGCAGGCCAGGAGCAGGCACAACAGTGCTCTGTTAGGACTGCTAGCTGCTCTCACTTCCTCCTGCCCCATGAGCTCATATGGGTGTGGCCCATGTTTCGTCAATGCTGCATTCTCAGAACTTTGCAAAAGGCCTGGTTCCAGGCAGGAACTTGAGAAATAGTTATTAACTCAGTGAGTGATCTGGAGTTTGTCACTTTGCCTCTCTGCACCTCATTTTCTTTTCTGTGAAATGGACATCACAGCACCCATCTGCCAAGGTTCCATGAACTGAAGAAAGCAAGAGACCACAAGACTCTCAAGCACTTAGATGGCCTGTCTCCCCAGGCGGCTTATATGTTAAAGGCTCGGTCTCTAGCTGGTAGATGGAATCATTGGGAGATTATGGACCATGAGGTCTGTGGCATAATCAGTGGCTCTTCTACTGAGTCATAACGTGCTGGCATTAGTGGGAGGTGCTGGGGACGAAGACGGAGGGGGACAGGCAGAGGAAGCATGTACCTGGAGGCATGTATTTGAAGGGTATGTCTTGTCCTTGGACCCTTCTTCTTGGCTGCCATGAGGTAAGGAAGCTCTGCTGACATGTCCCTCCCACACTGCCATGATGCTCTGTCTTGCTACTGGCCCATGTGGAGCTAACTACAATAGAAATCTCTAAAACCTGAAGCCTTATATTATCTTTTTCAGGTGTTTTATCACGTGACAAAGAGCTAACATTACAAGGTGGGCCAGAGCCTCCCTTATTCTAGGGGCTGGGTACCTAAGGTGGGGTGGGGAGCCCCCGGAGAACACCAAGCTACAAGGGGAACTCTTCTTTGGCCTCAGCACTAGTCCTGCCCTGACTTCCTTCGATGATGGACTGCGATGGGTAAGCATAAGCAAAATAAACCTTTTCCTCCCCACGTCCCTTTTGGTCATAGTGCTTCATCACAGCAATAGAAAGCCTAACACGGCATCGTCAACCTCATTGTTCAGGCAGAGAGAGACAGCCCAACACTCAGTGCATATCTGCCACACAACACGGGGTGTTCCTTCCTTTAATCCCCAGGGAACCCCGGGAGGGGGCACAGTTAAACCCATTGTACGGCCAAGGTCCCCGAGGCAGCAGGTGGGCGGGTGAATTGTCCAAGTCCCACAACACTGAAGAGAAAGGACAAAACTCTGTGCCTAAATATTCAGCACAACCAATGCTACCATGACGCCCTCTCAGCCAGTAGAAGAGAACCTTTACATCTGTAAAACTGAGAGAGAGGATCAAGTTACACAGAATGTTTTGAAACCTTGGCACAGTCTGTCCTCACTCCCAGCCCCAAAGGACAGGCAACTGGCAGACTCCGCGGACGGGGCTCCAAAGACAAAGTGCAACACCCAAAGGCATCGTTGTTACCCAGAAATCTTTATTACAAAAATATTTTGCAAGCCAAAAATTTTAAGTTGCAACTATGTACAAAACGGGGCCTGTTTCCTTCTCATCTGGTCTACAGATAAACTGGAATCCTATTCCTCTCACAGGGCGCTTTTCACCTCTTCCTCGCACCAGGGTTCCATACGTAGTTCTGGGGGCCCTCCAGGCTGCCTGGCTAAAGCTATAGCTATACACCTGCCCTGCCTCGTTCCCTTTCTCCCTCCAAAAAAACTTAAGACAAAATCAGGGTGTCAGTGAGAGGACATTCTTTGAAACTCGTCTACACACCCATGTGGGTGCACACACACGTGCCTTCTCTAGGCAAAAGAGAAGGGGATCGAGGCTTACAAACTGACCCTTTGGAATTAGAAGACAGCCCAAGAAGGAGACAGGGCCAAAGACAAGTTCTGGTTTGCCGTGCCAGTGCTGCCAACACAGCTTATTGGCTCCGAGAACTCCTGGATGCCATCATGGGAAGTTATCAGATCACCAACCCCAGAGAGTTGGATCCTTGCTGTGCTCCGGACCCCGTCACTGATTGTGCACTACAGAAACAGGCAGGTTGGCTCAGCTTCTTACCTGAACAGCGCGAGCCAGGAATGTCCAGGGATAGGGACATTAGCGCCTCTACTTACTGAGCAACATGTTAAAACCAGAGCCAGGGTTGCAATGTCTGCTTGCCGTGGGTCCAGCCAGGACCCAACATCCAATTTTAAGAGTGGAGGTCACAGCCTCTGCCCAGACTCCAGTGACAGAGGGGCGGTCTTCTCTGGCTCACAGCTATGCTGTCACAGGTGACCAGATTCTGTGCCCGTGTGAGCCTGCTGAGGTTTGAACGCAATGGACTCCTCCTGCACTGATTACCCCCAAAGGGCTGGAGCGCTGGGTACTGGCCGAGCGTCCCTTCTCTCTGCAGGCCTCTGAAGTGCTTGTGAGTGAAGGAGGTTGTCACTGACCTTCTCCCCTCAACATGGCCGACATTAGGTCATCATTGGGTCAGATAAGCCTGCACTTACCACAGTAGCCACGGAGGCACAGGGCCGGCCCATGGCTCTATAAGAACAGGGCCCCGATCGTCCTAGTGTCGCTGAGTGCCTGTAAGTAGCGGCTGAGGGGTCCTCAGAGTTCTGGGAATTGGAAAAAAAAATCTGTTTCTGCTGTAAGAAAATCCTTTCAGGACAATAAATTGTTAGACCTCAGACTTCACAAGACCCAACCATTCAACACATGACGAAGAGCCAAGATGCTGCTGCTGTTGTTTTAAGGGGGGAAAAAAAGGAGGAAAAAGAAAAAGAAAAGGAAAAAGGAAAAGGAAAAAAAAATCCAACAACAACTAAACAGCACAAATCAAATTTTCTAACACCTTAGCTTCAAGACTGCACAGTTCACATTTCTCAATAATTTACAGGCGTCCACAGAGTGATGCTGCTGAAGTTAGTGCTAGCTGGAGGAAGCAAGCTGGGACTGGAAAGGCGGTGGGGCCACACTGAACATGCCCAGGGAGTCTCTGCCAGTCTAGGAGAGGAGGGTTCCTTCGCCCCCAGGGCTGGTCAGCCTGGGAGGTGGGGAGGCCAGCACTGTCGGCTGAAAACTTGCTGTCTCCTGACGTAGTTCATCCGTGGATGGGGCAGTTTGATCTAATGGGATTCTTGCCCCAAAACTCAAGTTGGGTGGAAGTGACGAGCTCTTCTCTACACAGAAGACCAGGCTCTGGAGTATCAGGAAAGCAACCTGGGGTCACCAAGACCAGGATCCAGACCCGTGTGTGATGGGCCGAGGCACAACACTCCTTAGGTTCCAAGCAGCTTTTTCCAGTTCCCCCTCTGGTTCTGCAACACCAGCCTCCAGCAGAAGGGGACATAGCTGCCCCGGAAGTGTTGGAGAGCCAAGGAGGGAAGACAAAGGCCGCCCTTACTCCTGGTCCTAGGACCTGTGCCACCTGGCCTTCTGAGGACAGGACTGGCTGGCTGGGTGTCCTCATCATGGCCACTCCATGTGGGACAAGAAAACTTGTGGGATGGGCCCTAGAGCCGACCACAGTCCCATTCACTTCCTCTGGACCTGGACGCTGGCATATTCTGAGAAAGACGGCTCAGGCTTGGGGCCTGGCTGAGACCGGCTAAGGTGGACCATGTCCAGGTCGGCGTAGGTGAGGGTATCCTCTGACCTAGGCACTGTGCCTGTCTCAATGCTTGCATATTCTGTGTGGTTGTTGGGCTCGGGGACCCGGGGGGCCGGCTTCTTCTCTTTGGGCAGATTCAGGTCTGCATATGTGATGTCATTGGTGTCCTGGATCTAAAAGACACAGAGAGAAAGTCATTCTGGAGCCCCAGCCTGCTCAGCCATCAACCTGCTACAAGTCTTCCTGCTTCCTTCCCAGTGGGCTCAGCCTTCGTTCAGGCCCTTCTCCTGCCAACGCTATTTTTATGTACAGTCTTTCTCCTTTCCATCCACCTTCCTTGACACAGAACCAGAAGGGTCTTCTGAAACACCATGATGCTTACCTCAGGTCACCTCCTCCTTTCTAGGTGGAACCACCTGAAATCTCTTTTCTCCCCCTTTCCATGTCTTCTCCTTGGCCTCGACTACCCGTCCTCACTTCTCCTTATAAGAGACCCCAGGGCTCCACATTCAGTTCCGCTCTGCTCCTGCTCCATCCTAAGATACTTCTTGGTCCTTAACGCTTCTGGCTGGGCGCAGAGCCCCTCTGAGCCCTTCTGCTCACATCTCCCTATCATAACATCTACCACCCAAGATTATGTCTGTTTTGCAACCTTAGTAAGCATGATCCCTCACGAGATAGGGAACACCTCTTCAGTTACATGTTTATTACACAACTTTTTAACTGGGCATTTGGGATACTGCAGACAACAAGGCTAGCACAGAGGCCCCGTCCACAGTGATGGGATGGAAGGATGAAACAGATGGGAGGAGAGATGGAGAGATGATGGTATCACACAGTCAGAAGTCATTTCACTCAGGCTTGACTACAACTCCGCTCAGGAAGAATCACTAACCCTATTTTATAGATGGAAAGGGTGACCCAGGGAGCAGATGTAAATTCAATAATTCGGGCTAAGTCACTCAGGTGAAAAGAGAAATCAAGCCTGTCAGACCCTCACATTGTGGACCTCCCATACTGTCACGCCTCTGCGTTGAGCCCTGCAGGATCTGCTGCCTGGGCAACCATGCTGACTGAACTGGTGTCCCTCCCTGGCAAGGTACGGAGGCTGGCATTGGGGAACCTAAAGCAAAAGTCTGCTGGCTCCACAGGAGAAAAGTGGCCACCTTGCTCCGGAACCCTGCAGTTAAGCTGCATATTCAGTAAGTCTTAGAATGTGAACTTCTACAGGCTCCAATTCTTACCATCACCTTCCCCCAGGAGATTCCAGAAGGAAGTTTGAAAACAAAGTAACAGGGGAAAAGGATTCTCATTGCCATGACTAGAAATTCTCTTGTATTTGCTAGTTACCACTCAGCTCATGCCTAGGGCTGGTAGGGGCTAGGACAGCAAATTACGGTGTCCAGCCTACAAATGCCACACCTCTCCAAGCCTGTCAGCAGATTATATCTACAGTGGTATCAACTGCCTTGGAAATGGCAGGGAAGCTAGCGCTTTCATTCCAGGTTTAGGACAGGGTTTGTCTTGTTAGGCTCTAAGGAACCATGTATCTCCAGAGGTGACACTGTTGGACAGAGACAACAGGGCTTAGGAGTCTGGGAAATAAACTTAACAATGCCGCCTATAAAATCTCCTCAGCAATGAGGGGGAGAAGCCACCAGGTGAAGGAAGGTGCCCTCATAATCCAGGTAATCAGTGACCCAGGGCTCTTCCTCCTCCACAAAGACGAGAGAGGCCAGGGCTGGCAGGGAAGAGCAAGGCCACCAGGAAGTGGGAGTGAGCTGGTGCTGGTGCTGCCGTGGAAGAACTGGCTAGAGCAAGGGCCTAGAAACAGGAATACACAACACAAATGAAGATGCAATCTGACTCCGGCATCATTTACCCGGGACACACTGCTACCGGTACCCCCTGGAGTTGTGCAACGGCTAACAGGGAACCAGGGGGGGCCCAGACTCTCCTGGCTGGAGCAGAGAAGGATGCAGAGGACTCATGGGTGATTGAGTAATGCACAGATCCTCCCTACCCCCAGAATCTTAATTTAGAACTGGATCTGCAACTCCTGTTGAAGCAAGGAAATCACACCCCAAGTTTCCCAGGAAGGGCAGCTCACCAAAGACTGTACCTGGGTTATTTCCCTGGCATTCTTCTCAGGCTCGTGCAACCTAAAACGGAAAGAGGCACAGATAAAAATATCTATCTCGAGAGCTTATGCAAATCAATCATAATAGCATTCAGGCCCTACTTCCTACTTGGGTGGAGGAGGGAGGAGCTTATCAAATATCTGGACACAGGAGCCAGTCTCACTGAGGGAATTCTAAACAACGCATCACGCTTTAAAAAAAAAAGCCTCTGTTGTCAGGATCTTTACAATGATAGTGCTGGAAAAGGTACACGGTGAGGAAGGTGGGATGAAGAGGCACTTCCACACACTGCTGTGAGGGAGGTAATCCTTCGGGAAGTAATGAGCAAATCACGAGCAAGGATAATGCCCCATCCTTTGACCCATAGCTGTACCTTTTGCGGGGACTGAAATATACCAAGGCATGTGCCCTGGACAAGGTAGGAAGAAAGCTTATATCCTAGGACTTTGCCAACGGGCACTAGTTTGTGGAAACTGTGGTGCTGGGGACAGGACCCGGTGCCTTGTTCATGCTAATAAAGTGGCATTTCTGGGTCGTGTCCCCAGCCCTAAGAGATTTTTGTTGTTGAGTTACAAATGCTTCCACTAAAATAAGTGAGAGAGAGCAAATCTCTGCGAGGCAATCTCAATGAAACCGTGTGGAAAACTGGAAAGAAAATGCCAGCAGCCGTGGTCTTCGGAGTATTTTTGTTTCAGTTTCCCATATTTCCCAAATGTTCCATATTATAAATATACCTATGTATTGCCTTTAAAAGAAAAGGAAGACGAGGATAAAAATGCCTTAATACACAACAACAAACGCTGTTCCTGCCCTGATTCTGCAATCGGAGCCCGGGCGTGGCTCACTGGCGGGTCACCGTCAGTGAAGGTGACGAGTGAGCTGCCTGAAACTTAGGGCACTAGAGCATGAATAATGTCAGAATGAGCAATAGGGCTTGGCAGCAGGGTTTCTGATAGAGCTGTCATGACTGCTTGGATCATAAGGTGGCCCATGTGGCCCACATCCTCCAGGATCCAGAGTGCAACCGATAGGAGGTCCTGCTACTCTCTCTCGGGTCACCATCTCCCACCTTCTACAGTCTCCATCGCTTGTTTGGTTCATACCCGATCACCATCTTGTTCAGAACTCCCCAGCCGCCAACCCCCCCCCCCCCCCCCCCCTCCTGTTCTGCTCCCTTCACCACTCTTATTCCATCCACGTCTGCCCCCTGACTATGCATGAAGGCTACTGCTGCTTTGCATTTTTTGCTTCAGCAACAGCCTTGGGTGACTCGGTCCTAGTTGTGGTTACTATTGCCGTGATGAAACAAAGCAACCTGAAGACGAAGGGTTTACTGGGCTCATGTTTCCTCATCCCTGTTATCATTGAAAGCAGTCAAGACAGGAACTCAGACAGGGCAGAAACCTGGAGGCAGGAGCTGGTGCAGAGGCCATGGAGGGGTGCTGCTCATGGCTTGCTCATGGCTTGCTCAGCCTGCTTTCTTATAAAGCCCAGAACTGCCAGTCCAGGGCCAGCACCACCCACAGCAGGCTGGGCCCTCTCCCATCAATCACTAATTAAGAAAATGCCCTACAGGCTTGCCTACAGACCGATCTTAGGCGGGCATTTTCTTAATTGAGGTTCCCTCTTCTCAGATGATTTTAGCTTGGGTCAAATTGACACAAAACTATCCAGGACAAATGTCTTACTATTTTTTCTCATTGTTAGCACACACACACACACACACACACACACACACACACACACACACACACCCTTTAAGACTTAGCTATGTGTTTCCTCCTTGGAAGGCTTCACCAACAGTGCTAGGTTGGTGTGGTTGCTACTCTAGGATATCCCCTTGCTTATCTTGTCTTGCATACGTCTTGCATATCTTCATCTGTTTTCTGTTCCTCCTTGCCACACTACCTTCCTGCCTAGGCTCAGGAACCCAACCTTGAAGCTAGGGCCTGTCAAACAGCTCCAAGGCCTTTGCACAGACATCTGTCCTTTCAGATCTTTGAAATCCTATTTAAACACTTTCCTTTGGAGACAGAAACTCACTTTGTAGCCTGGGCTGGCCTTGAACTCACAGAGATCCACTCGCCACAGCCTCCCAAGTACTGGGATTAAAAGTGTGTACCACTGTGCTCAGTTGCAATCCTATTTTAAACATTCTTATCTGAACCTTCACAGGACTCCCAAACTCTGTTCTCAGGAGATCATTCCTGTCTTTCAGAGCAGTATTCAACACTGTAAGCATTTGTCCATTCTGTTTTAAACTATGGTGCCACCATTACTCATCCTGGACCCAGACCAGAGTGGGACATATCCTGTAATTCTTCTCTCTCCTGTATGAGCACAAGGCTAACTGGCCATCTCCAAAAGTTACATCAAATTCTGCTACTTGGTCATCTGTCATGCTGGTCCCAGGTTCTCGGGCTGTGAGAGTTCTTGGTTTCCCTTTCTCTGTTTCTTGCTTCTATAATGCATAAGTGAAAGCCAGGCATGTTGGTTCATCCCCATAATCCCAATACTTTGGAGGCTGAGGCAGGGTTCAAGGTCAAGGTCTGCCTGGGTTTTGAGACTCCCATCCCAAAACAAAACAAACAAAAAAGGAGAAGAGGAGGAGGAAGTGAAGAGGAAGAGGAAGAAGAAGAAGAGGAGGAAGAAGAAGAATTTTTTCTGTAGAGAACCCTTGCCGTACAGTGTAGCCCACTTCCACATCCTGACTGGTGAGGTTCTGTGTAGCCTGTTCCCACCCCTGCTCTAGGCTTCCTTCCCTGTGCTCCAGCTAATCTCGCCTCATCAACACTCCTGCCTCAAGGTGTTGGCATTGGCTACTCCTGGCTGGTGTGTTTCTGCCCCTGCCAGCCCCACACAGGAGCTCCACGTACACTAGCTGTCTTCTCAGCGCTGTCTACTTACACAAACCTTCCCTGACAGTGCCTCATTTTACCTTTTCTAGCTCTTGCTGTACCTTGATTATTAAGCTTCTGGGTTGCATGGCAGGCTGCCTCCCAGGGGATGATGAAACCCTGCACCTTGTCCTGGGCTAGCTCATGGCTGTATAACTCCCTCCATAAACACTTCCTGAATGAAAGGTTGTAGTGTTTTCTCACTGGATTCCCCCCAGTGCCACTCAAGTCTGCCTCCCAGCTGAGCTCAATCCAAACAATTATAAATAATAAATCCAATAAATAATTGGGGGTAAGTCCTGGTATTCTGAGAATAAAGGCAGTGACTGTGTCACATTTAAACAATGGCTGTCCAAATGAACCCCAGTGACCGATAAAAGAGCAGACAGCACTGACATGTGGGTGGGGATAACAGTGTTCTGCCTGTATGTCAGAAGGCTGGGCCTGTGGCCCCCAGCAGCCTGCAGGGTCCTTTGCACTCAAAGGCATAGGATCCCTGTTAGCTTCTCTGAGGTGCTAGGCTGTCCCCTACCCCAGCACCACTGTTTTTCAGAAAGTATTTGATCCCATGCTGGGCCAGAGACACTGCTACCCAGGAAACCACCATTAAGGCTTGCTACCCACCATCACTTTGGTCTAGAGACATGAAAGAAGCTAGTGATTTAGCTCCCTGGGTAGGCTAACACTGGAATGATATAAAAGGACAGAAAATGTCCTGCTTCTCTGGAGGAAGAAACAGGTGGCAGAAGGCAGCAGAGCATCAACGGGGAAATACCGGTGTCAGCACCAGATAGCCCACGCAGACCCTGGGCAGCTCAGCATCACGCTGACTCCTCAGATCCTGGCCGCCTCAACCACCGGACGGGGAGCTATGATCACCTCCTGGGGCAGGAGCCCCCAATGGGTGGCATGAAGTCTGAATCACAGGCTCAGATTCGCTTTGGGTTTGAACAGCCCCCCCCCGCCCCCACCCCAGGACTTTCAGCCACACTCAAGTCTGGAAACCACTGTCCTTCGACAAGGCTAGGAAGAGAACCTCATGACCACCAGTGGGATGATGCAAGTAGAGGGACAGATGGGCCGTGGTACACAGTAAGCGCTCACTAAGCAGGAGCTTCGACTGCTGCTGTCATTATCTAACAAAGTAAGACAAGCAAAAAAAAAAAGAAAAAAACAATAGAAAAAACCCAAAAAACTGGACAGCGACCCCTCCTGTGGGGAAGGAGTTCCAGGGGCTCAGAGCTCACTGGTGCCGCAATGGTGAGGGATGACAGTCATTCAGTCATTCTTTCATTCAACAAGCCTTTATGAAAAACGTATCCCACCACAGGAATGGCACCAAGTGCAGTAGCTGCTGGCTGTGAGCAGGAGGGACACAGTCCCTGTGCTGAAGAGATTTGATCAGGAAGATGCAGATAGCCCCAGAGCCACTTCAGATGTACCAGGCTGTCTGTGCAGAACACCAGAGGCCGACAGGAGGCCTCCTGACCCGAGAGAGAGGAGTGGCATCACTGAGGAAGATTCGGAGGGGACCAGGTGAAAGGAAGATGCCAACGTTAGCTACTACGGAGCACAACTCCAGTGGTACTGTTTGCAGAACAGGGTCGGAGACTGAAAGGGTGGAGAGGGCCAGCTCAGGAAGCTGCCTGGGGAGACCAAAACAGGAAGCAAGGCTTATCCCAAGGGCACTGTGCACTCTCATGTTGGGCAGCCAGGGGCAGGTGACGCTCCCCAGAGCCCCTGGAGGGAGCTGAGGTACTCCTGCTGTGTGCAACCACAACTCCCATTACTGATGGTCCTTCAACCAGTACAGACTCCTCAGCGTCCCCAAACGTGAGTTGTCCTGGACCCTACATCCAGTTTACCAGGAAGTCCTCTTGGCTCTATCTTTTAAAATACAACTAGAATCCAACAACTTCTTAGCCCACATTCCACCTGGCCCAAACCTTAATCTTATTTGCTTAGGCCACTCCGGTCATTTCGTCACTAGGCTTTCTGCTTCAACCTCACCCGTCACCTAGCTTCTACACAGAGAAGGTGGTACTTGTAAAACAAAAGCTAGGTCACATCTCTCCATGGAACCACTAGAGTCCTTCTATAGTCACAAGATCTACCACTGGCCTCCACTCCGAGGCCTCAGTTCAATTCCGACTTCCAGAAGGAAGAAAGAGAGAGAGATGGAGACAGACAGAGACACGGAGAGGAAGACACACACACAGAGAATGAATAACGGAATGATCCGCACAGCTCATGGGATGAGACTACCCCACCTGAACCAACACAAAGCCATTTACGGTTTTATGTATCACACTGGCTCACTCACAGGACAGACATGGTGCCGTCCTCCCCTTCGGGGGAGCACCAGGGCCCGTCTTACAAGCCAGAAAAGCCTTTCTCCAAAAAAGGCTGAAACTCACATGCTGCGTGGCCCTCCTCATTTCTTGCCCTCCTGTGCCCAGTCAGTCGGGCCGCCCCACCCCAGGCTTGGTTCTACCTGTTCTCTTATGTAAGCATGCTAAGCCTGCCCCAAGACCCCGAGCTTCAGGTCCCTGCTCACACGTCTCTCCAGAGGCTGTGGCTTCCTCTGCCGTGCCCACCCATCCCTTCTGCGTCGGGGCCACCACACTCTGGATGGCTGTGTTAGCACACTCACTTCCTGCAGCCCTCGCCAGGACTGAGCCCCGGCTGCACCCTGGCTTCTAGAACAGAGCTCTGCACCAAGCTGTCCTGTGAAGTTACCACCCAAGCTCCCGAGCAGGCTGTGACCTCAGAAGGACTTTACTTAGCACCCTGGCAGGGCCTCAGGGCCTCCGGAGGTGCTTGGCAGAGGAAGGAGGGGAATGTGGCTTAGGCCTGGGAAGATGAGTCCAGTGGAGTGTACAGGAGGACTTCACGAGCACACACGGCATAAGGAGGGAGGCTACCATCACTCTCACGGGGGACTAGGCAAAGGCCTCGAGCTGCCAAAGCCAATGTGCCCTGAAACCTATTCCTTTAAAGCAATAAATTAAAAATAGGCCTGACAAGAAGGGTACAAGAGAAAAAGGAATGCGGACAGATGTGCATGAGGGGTGGTGATTTACAGTATTTTGGGGGTCTGTCAGACAACTAAGTAAAAGGGGACCCGGGTAGATGGCTTAGTGAAGTGAGTGAACTGCCTGTTACCCATGAAGACCAAGTTCAGACCTCCAGAATCCACAAAAAGCCAGATGTGGCAGCTCACATCTGTCTATAATCCCGCGATCCTCAGGGAAGGTGGCAGACCAAGACAGAAACAACAGGCTCAGTCTCAAACAAGGACCTCGGCAAGGACCAGGGTATTTACTGACGTACAAATGCATGCTGTGGCAAACACATGTCCACATTCACACACACAAACACGTGCACATATACAGAAGTTTTAAAAAGGGACTATGGTAGTGTCCTGTCCCACAGACGCACTTACCTTGTGGAGGAAGTTGACCCCTTGGCTGGAAGAGAAGAAAAAGTGGTTATTTAACCAGAAACAATTTGCTGGGTAACTTCCCTTGAGCCAAGGTTTGCCTCCAGGGATGTGGGGAGAATTAGCCTAGGGAAGGCCTAATGCCAAGCCAATAGATGGGCCACCATCACCTACCATCCTCAGGGGAGAAGCCACAGGGCTAGGTTGGGCTACTGTGTTCCCCTTCAGCCTCAGAAGGCCCAGGTGCCCTCCTATTCCCTGCTGGGCCTCCTCCCCATTCAAGCACATAATTTTGATGGGCCCCCCACTAGGTCCCATACCCCTGGAGAGTAGATTCAAACAGGAATTTGAGTTGAGGAGCATGTGTCAACCCCAGGCCTGCCCCCCAACTAACCTGCTGTGTGAGCCTCTCTTTAACTCACAGGGCTAGCCATGACGTCCATTAGCTGCCCATCCCCACTTTCCAAGAAAGCAACTGTCTGTTTAGTGCTTTTAGGTCTGTGATGTAGGAAGGGCATCCCGCAGATTATCTCTGGGGGATTATGTTAGCTCTGCAGCAGTTTGATTCCCATTTTGTTATCAAATCATAATTGAAAAGCAACATATGCACTGACACAGGCTCAGCGATGTACTCTGAACAGGCCACCCAAGGACAAGGAGCTCAGACAGCCGGGTGGGGCAGGCTGGGGCTTCCCAGGGTCTGCAGGCGAGCAGGCACAGAGGGAAGCTGCAGCCAGCATGCCACATCCGAATGGGGGCCCTGGACCGACGTACTGTGAGCAGACAGCTCTGGCAGTTTAGGGACAGAGTCTTCTCATTTTAAACCAGACAACAGATACCTTCCCAGATTCTTATCGGCTGGCATATGACATGGGTCCTTCACCCTGAATGTAGCCATGATGGGGGGAGAAGGGGTAGCTTTTCCGGGTAGAGAAGGAAGGAGGGGTGGTGTGATGTGTAGAGGAGATTCTAATGTGCTCTCTGTCTTTGAATTCTGGCCACGCGGTTCTGGACAAGTCACCTCATCTGTAAAATGGGTCAGCAAGACTCCCAAGGTCTGCGGTGAGAACTAATTGTATTATCACATGCCAAGCTGAGCACATTCTGGCTGTCACTGTTGCTTGAGCCTGTGTTTGGGAGCTGGGCTCTGCACGCGATCACCACTCAGGGCCTGGTATTCTCCTGTGTCCCCAGCTCTGCAGGCCACTATTGCTCCTCTGATCTCTTAGGCATTGAGGCTGACCGACAATGAGCTCCTGTGAGGAGCTTGCTTGTGCCCAGTGCTGGGTCCCTGAAAGGACAGCTAGGACTTCACCGATGTCTCAAGCATGTCCCTGGCCCAATGACGTACGCAACAGGGACATGCTTTCCTGATTGGAGCAGGGGTCCCTCCTGTTTGTCCCTCTCAAGGCACTCTGGGAACAGTCAGGCAAAACAACAAACAAACAAACAAACAACACACATACAAAATAAACCAAGGACTCAGGTCCTCAAACAGAACTTGAGGTTTGACTACTGCTTCAAAGGTGAGTCCAGATGGGACAGAAAGCATGAGACAAGAAACAGAGGGGTGCCAAAGGGATGGGAGACTTGAGGGCCGCACTGTCCCTCCTAAGCCAGACACTCAGCTACAGGATGGCAGCCTGCGAGAATGTTTGCTTTCAGGCTGTGGTTCATGAGGGTCACCACTGGCATTTCTTAACAGCAAAGAGAACAGAATATAACCAAAAGGAAACATAAGGATTTCAAATTTATATATAAAGGGGTGCGCTGAGTTGAGGTATAAAATGTTATATCTATTGCTTTCAGTAAAAAACAAATGAACAAAACCCAGCATTATGGAAAACCAGCATCAAGCCATCTATTCCAGCACCGTGGGGATGTGCACTGGGAGGCCCCGACGCGCGGTAGACCCTGCTCTTTCACAGCAGTGTACTCAGGCCTCATAACGTCTCTTCAGACCAGTGCCCCTAATTAGCTGTGTGACCTCAAACGAGTCAGATGACGGGCTCACCCCCTGCCAGTTTCCTCCAATGCTGCTGTGGCCAAATACAATACTAAAACAGCCTCAGATGGGGGGAGGGGAACGGGTGGAGGCTGCCATGGTGAGTGTGAAACAAGAGCCTGGAGCCTGTTTGCCTGACTCCAAGGTCAGAGGCTCTGCACAGCCAGAACCACACACATGTGCACACAAGGGAGATGTGGCCTGGCCTGGAACTCGTACCTCCCCCGGTGGAGTTTAGGGTCATGAACCTTGCTGCTGTGAGGGGGCTATCCTGGGAGGGGCCTATGGAAGCTGCTGGAGGACCCTGGCTGTAGGAGCTGCCTTTGTTCAGCATGTGTGTGCCGGGCACTTTCCTAATATCTTACTCGGAAACTCTGCCAGCTCTTCCACTGGCATTCCCTTGGCCGTAGTTTGGAGCACTAACTGGGAGCCTGTTAATATGAAACCTGGATACGTATAAGGGATGTGGAAGGCTGTAGGCAGCTCGGGCATTTCCTCTCTAAGGCTGGCAGGAAGAGTCCCTGAGACTCGGAAGCTCCCTCTTGCCACCCAGGCAGCACTGTATTCCCCGTAGCCATGAAGACATGAGACCGGAGGCAGTGATGGTCCTTTTGCAGCCAGGAGGAAAGAAGGCTGAGGAGTGACCCTCTTAGATTCTAGGGTGGTAAAGCTGTTCCATCAACCCCGGGCCTGCCCTCTCGGCTTCCTGTCTCAGGGAGTCACAATGTTTAAGAACCCAGGGGCCATCCTGTGAGGAGAGCCCTGAGAGAAAGCAGAGCTCCCACCTACCTTTCTTCTGTTTGATCCGCAGGAAGTAGAGGGCTGCCATCAGCAGGACCACTAGCAAAGCACACACCACACCCACACCGATGAAGATGCTCTGGTTGGGAGAAGCATTATCTGAGGACCACAAGGAAGAAGGGCTTCATGAATGTAACTCAGAGACAGAAAAAAAAATGAAAGCCTGCTGCCCCTTTCCTGAGAGCCATCCTTAGTGGTGGAGCCAACTTGGGCGGTTATAGGTCCCATCCTTGTTCTCTGGGAAAGCTGAGGGCACATCCATCCGTGATATGTTTCCATTCCCCGGCCAGGTCAGCTGGAGACGTCTAGGCTTGCTCAGGTCACTCTCCAGCCGTGCAAAACACACGCTGCTGGCAGCCACACAGAAAGCAGCTGCAGGACACAGGCAGAAACCATATTCCCAATCCTGAGGACTGGAAAACCATCCCTTCTCATCTGCCTTGACTGCGGGACACTGGTGGAGGGGCTGGGGAAGGTGGTGAGAGTGAAGGGCCTGCTGCTGGCACGGGCTTGGCAAAGCACCCAGGGCTTCACACTCTCTGTGCCCAGAACCTAACCCACAGTGCGCATGTTTGTGGCGGTGGTAGGGGAGTGGGCTGCAGGCCCTGGACTGGAAGTTCACAACCTGTGGGTCTCGAGCCCTTGGGAGAGTGAACGACCCTTTCATTGGGCTCACCTAAGACCATCGGAAAACACAGACATTTACATTACGATTCATAAAGCAGCAACATTGCAGTTACGAAGCAGCGACAAAAACAATTTTATGACTGGGGGTCACCGCGTCCTATTAAAGTCACAGCATTAGGAAAGCTGAGATCAACTATCTAAGACCACAGCACAGCAGTGTCAAGAGCACGGCTCCATGACAGAAATGTGAACTTCTTACGTTCTCCAACTAGTCCTCATCCGCATCGGAGGAGCCATGTCCCCTGCTGGTTTCCTGTTATCGAGGCCAGTACTAATCTCTACCTCATTCAGCAGCACTGAGGGTGAACTGCCCAACCTTTCATCGCCTCCCTCCTGAGTTCTGTGAACTCTAAAGGTAGTGTTGGTTAAGACAGTCATGGTCCTTACCAAGGAGAGGCGACCCCTATCCACATGTCCACAAGCAAGCAGAGCTCAGAGAGAGGCACCGACTCATCCAGGATCACACAGCAAGCCAGTGATAGAGCCATCGTGGACATGAACGTTCCCTACCTGCACGTCCTAGGCATCCTATGAGAATCAGGCATGGGTAAAATCAAAGGACCATAACACAGGCCTGAAGGGTTGGTTCCTGGAGCGTCCCTGAAGGAGGAGCGAGCGAAAAGATGGCTTCTGTTCTCCTCCCTTCGGAGGCTCTGCTACAAGCATCCGCTGTGGTGCTGACAAACAATGGCTAAAAAGCCATTGCCACATGGCCACTTTAAAAAAGAAGAGCTCTTGATGGACAGCACACGAGAGGGGCTGCGAGACTCTGCTGACATGCTGACTGTCGCAGAGCAGCAGAGCGTGGCAGCTGTCCTCGACACACAGACCTTGGTCTAGAAATAGTCAGGGGAAGACTGTCCCATGGAGATAGCCACTGGGTGACAGTATAAATGAGGATGCTCTTTGCAGTACTGGCTGTCCTTGAGCCAAACCACCAGCATCTATGGGAGGGTAGAGGAGGGTAGAGGGGCCAGGAGGACTGAGGAGTGGGTAAGAGCCATGGGGACAAAACAATTGTTAGGTGAGGAGAGCAGGAGGTAGGGTGCAAGCAAAGGCCGATTCCTGCCCTTCCCTCTCCTCTGGTACACCGTGTGAACAGAGCCATCGGGATAGGAACCCAACCCTCGTCAGTGCTGGCTGCAGGGGTATGAGAGCTGAGAAGAAGCGCGTAAAGACAGCCCACTTTAAAACCGGGCTTATGTTTATAGACTTCTAGGCTGTTCTATGATAAGCATTATATATACCTTTAACATTAAAAAGAAAAAAAAAAAAAAAAAAGAAGCCAGTCAGTGGGAGTGGAGGCCTCACCACTCACCGGGGGTGGTTTCCGGTTCTTTGGGCTTGTTCAGGTGGGAAGAGATGGTCAGGGTGTGGTTCTTGGTGACCGCTGGCTGCCCGTCATGCTCCACCTGGCAAGTGAACACCACGTTCTCTTTGTGGGCAGATCTGTTCACCAGGAGCACGCTTGTCCAGTTACAGGTCCCATCCTTGTTCAGCGAACAGTTATTGGGTGTTTCCACTCGTGTCACGTTTCTGTTCTCCAGCCAGGTCAGGCTGAGGTTCCTGGGGTAGAACTTTTGCACTTGGCATATGATGTTCACCTGGTTCTGGCTCCCTGCCAGCGTGGACTCCTGAGTGACCTCCAAGGTGGGTGAAACTGAAATAGCACAGGCAAAAGCTCTAACCATGAGTTGCACTGTGATCCCGAGGAAGGGCCGCAGAGCTGAGTCTCTCCCACCACAGAGCAAACACAGGACTTCTAGGCATGCATCAGAGGCCCAAACACTGCGGGTCGGAGTATGAATGGAACCACTAACCACGGCACCCAAAACACAGTAGGTGCCTTATCTAGGGACTGGTGTGGAGATGAATGATGTCAATGCATGCAGCTTCTGGCATGGAGGGAATGCAGTAATTACAGCAAAAGATTGAAAACTACCAGGCAAGGGGGCGTGGCTCACACTAGGTGCCCAACTGTAGTTGCTGTTGGTAAAATAAAGGCAACTACCTGTATGGTACTAGTCAAAGGGTAATGGTTGCTGTGCCCTTGGGCTAGGAGTCAAGGACATCTACCTCGAATGAAGTCAGACAAGTTGGCAATCCCACGAAGAGGGCTTCCTTTCAAAGTCTCATGGGCCACCTCACAGATGACCTGAGAATGGACATCCCCAGGGCTCAGTTTCACCTTGGCTGTGCTGAAGATATTGTAGGAGACATTCTCCCCCTCAGGGGTCACAGTGGGCTCCACGTTGGGCAGTTTGTTGCCATCTTTGAACCACTTCAGGCTGATATTCCGGGGAGAAAAGCCATAAGATTTGCAGGTGAAGTCCACAGTCTGCTCAGGTGTGGCCCTGGCTGCTGGGCCGGAGACCACCGGTGGAGAAGGTTTGGCTAAAGGAGCATGTATAGACAAGAGATATGATTGTGGTGGCCAAGCAAAGGGGCCGTGGGGTAAGCACTTGGCCCAGTTATCATCAGCATTACTGTGGCACTAGGGGTTGGCCCCGGGGCTTTACACATCTTAAGTACACGCTCTGCTACTAAACTGTATCTCCAGCCTGGCAACACTATTCACCAGTCTTCCTCCCCATAAAATTGGAGTGGCCATGTCCTCAGCCTTCTGTCCGAGGAGGATGCAAAGGTTTCATGAAACAGGAGAGTCAGACAGTAAGGCAAGGCCAGGAATTCTGGGCCTAAGGTTTTTAGGGATTTCCAAGATTGCTGACTTATCTCATTCTTGGCTTTAACTGCTCCCAACCGCATTCCTGGAAACTTTGCCAGCCTAGAGAAAGTATTTGCAGAAGCAAACACAGGAGGCAAAAGGCACTGTGAGGAACCACGGAGCTGGAACCCACGGCTGCTCTGAGAGGCGAGCACCCCCCGGAGCCACACCTGTGAAATGGGTGACAACGCTTCTCCTTTCTGGATGCAGTGAGGATGAAATGAGGCCCTACAGACTTCCTGCTTTGGATGACAACCACACACAGAGGCTTCGCAAACATGAAGAAACATGGATCTGTCCTTGACAGATCCTTGCATAAAAAACTTAAATTTTTGAATGTCTCTGCATGTGAGTGGGTTCCTTTAAGGCCAGAGAGGGCATTAGATGCTCTGGAACTGGAGTCACAGGAGGTTGAGAGCCACCTGACGTGGGTGCTGGGAGCTGAACTAGGGTCCTTGATAAGTGCAATACAAGCTCTTCATCCACTGAGCCAATCTCCAGCCCTCGACATCATTCTTATATTCTCCCTGTAAGAACTTAGGGATTCACTACATGGGTTTTCTTCTCTCTCTACACATCCTAGTGGGGCTAACCCATGCCAAGTCTCAAATTTGAAAGGAAGAGGCTAAAGGGATGGGTTGTTTGTTTGTTCTTTGAGTCTGGAGAGCTTCTATTTAGGGCTGGAAACAAAGATCACTTCTATGTTAAGAAAATCAACGATAGTTCTTGATTTATGGTTAATCACTGAAGAGACAGACAGCGAACAGTCCCAAGCCAGCAGACGCACTTCTGGTCCTGAAGGGACACATGGGTGACTAGGAGGGAGACCCTGTCCCTCGGGGGTTAATCCAAAGTGCTCATTATCACACAGCATCACTTCCAGACAGCAAACACCACCCATTTTCCATCTGCCAACACGTAAGGTGCTCCCTAATATCCACCTAAAACGTTGAGGGCACAGAAAGGAGGGTGTCACTTGAAGTCAAGTCGTAGGGACGCCAGAGTTTTAAGATTCTGAAGTGGTGAAGAGCCATCCTCCTGGCCCTGGGAACTCCCTGTGCTTAAATCTACCCCAACTGCCAATGTAAAATATTGTTGAAGAAGCTGCATCTGTACCGAATAGTAACAGACTTTTTCTCGTCACTATTCCCTAAACAACGCCCAGAACAACTATTTACATAGCATTTGCATCATATTAAGTATTATAAGAAATCCAGAGATGATTTAAAATAGATGGCAGGATGTGTGTAGGTTACACGCAAATCTCCCCCATCTTGGATGAGGGCCTTGGACGCTCTTGGATTTGGGTAGCCCACGGGTACCAAGGAACAACTGAAGTCACCAGCTACTGAGTTCTTGGGAGCCTGACACTGGCTGCTCCCGGTGCGCTCACCAGCCCCTGAAGGGGGAATTTAGGGTGAACTCCTTCTGTTGGAGAAGGCTCAGAGGAGAGTGGGACCAGCCAAAAGCACATACTGGGTGGGACTCATCTTCCATTGAGATGATTACTTTAGTGCTTAAAAGATCTTCCAAGCATCTATCTGTGTTTCCTCTGCACAAAGTGGACAAAAACATCACCCTAGGAAGGTGACATAAATGTGACTTCTGGCTTACAGTAGGTGCCTAATAAATCATATCTATAGCTACTAACTTAGCTCTGAGACTACACATTTCTTCCCTGGCAGCCAGAGGCACAATAAGGCCACCACACTGTGGGCTCTCTCATCTTTGGTAGCAATCCCCTTTAGGGCCTGAGTTAGGCCAGCAGCTCCGAAACTCCAATGGGGTGTATCTCCCAGATAAGCCATTGAGAAAGCCTGGAGCACTGAGGGAGGATCTGTGGTATTTGGGGTCACCGAGGCAAGGAGGGTCTGTGCTAAAGATGGAGAATTTCTTTTCAGACACGGATGTCTACAGGTCAGGAAGGTACCATTCCTGGCAGGATCCGAGCCGGGCTGTCAGAGCTGTGTGGGGTGCACCTGCAGTCTTCCGAGGCCCCTGGAGAGGTTTCCTGCTCATCACTGGGACCCCAGACAGGGCATGCTATTTTAAAGAGTTTCTGAGTAACTAGCTTCATGGGGGAACTTTGCCAAGAGAAAAATAAAAGTCGTGGCTTTTCTTCTGTGGTTTCAGGATATGCACCTCAGCCTGGCTGTGGTTAGACACCAGATACAAGCTGCACAGATGGGTCTGCAGGTAGGAGCACTTGCTGAGCAAGTGTGAGAACCTGAGTTAGAATCCATGTAGAAAGCCTACCACCCCAGTGTTGTGGGAGAGGTGAGGAGACAGAAGGATCAGCCTAGCTCCATGATCAGTAAGAGAGCCTGTCTCAAACAGAAAGTAATGTAACAGATCACTAAACATTCTCCTCTGTCCCCTGCTCACGCACAGGCAGATGTCACACACACACACACACACACACACACACACACACACACCCAGAAACTTCAGCACCATGTTAGGACAAATTACAGCAGAATTTCTATGGCAGATATGAGACTTGTGGTGCTCTTCAGTCTCATAGATGAGTTATACAAGCAGACAGGTTGGAAAGCCACCCAGCTCACCAACCCAACCAACGCTTGAGGCCCGGGAAGGGAGAGTGACCCATCTGAGGTCACACGGACACAGCTCAGCACAGCTCCCACTGGTGGGATACTTTCTACAAGTCAGACTGTTGTAAGTGTTTGATACAATGTCACTGCTTCAGTCCTGAGCACATACTCTGTGGCCACCGGGGCTGCTTTGTGGAGGGTTTGTTCTGAGACACAGCGAGGCAGTGGCTTATCTCCCACATGGTTCCAGACACTCTGCTCCCTGTCCTCCTGGCCACTGCACTTGTCATACTCAGTAATGACCTTGACTCCCCATCTAGGGCTTTGCTAACATCAGGGTGCTCCCAAACCCCAGAATGGAGCCATTACTGTGATCATTCACACAAACAGTAACTAGGACCTCACAGAAGCCAAGCCTTGCTCCAAATAGTAAGGTCCCGGGCAATTCCTCGAGGCTTCCTGCTGGGCTATTCAGTGTCCTAACACACCCTGGAAAGGTGGGTACTCACAGCTCTGGCTCGAAGAGAAAATGCTATGATGAAGATGTGGCATGAAGCCACAGGCGATAACGATGTGGCAGGAAGCCTTGTTTGTTGTAGTGGCCTAGGCAAATAACACACTAGCTGGGAACTTCGGTGTCTCCGCCACATCAGGATAAGCTGCCTGCTCTGCCACTGTGCAGAGGTTTCGAGGAGTCTTGGGTGCTACCTGGAGGGAAAACTGGCATTGTCTACAAAAATTAAAGTGAACACACCTATGTGACACAGTAGGCCTCCTGCAGTGGGCATCTCTGTCCTAGACTTGTGGGACGAGCCACCCAGTGTGGAAGAACTGAGTTACCTACCAACAGAAGACTACAATAAACTATAGTCTCAGCCCTCCTGTGGGGATGCTTAATGCCTGGGCGGCAAGGAGCCTGGCCGGGATCTGCTTTCTGGTACTCACTGGTATGTGACCCATGTGTAGGGAAGAGAGAGGTATGGGGTAAACAGATGAGGGGTGCAGATGGTCTCTTACTTGCTAGCACTGGAGCCTTGAGCAAACAACTGGCCTTGGCTTCCCTGATCTGTCGAAGGTTAGATCAGATCATGAGCCTGATCTCCCATTGCACCTGCTGGGAGACACGCTCATGGGATAGGAGTGTTATTCTCTGACCTGATGATACACCTCAGGGGGTGAAGAAGGCACAGGCTTACTTACCGAGCACATAGACCACCGTTCCCCCTCCAGACTGAAGTTCCTTGCCCAACTCTGAGGTGTCTGGCTGGAACTTCACACAGTAGTAGGTGCCGGCATCTGCTGGGGTGACATTACTGATACGGATGGAAAAGTCCAAGTTGTTTCTCTTAGTAGCATCTGAAACATTTGTAAATCGAGGAAAGCTTTCTCCTCTGAAACTGTAGATTAGGTGCCGGCTTTGCCCTGTTCCTCTGAGCCACTTAATGGGTCCCACAGGCGTCAGGGAGGTCACAGTGCAGTTCAGAGTGACGTTGTCCCCAGCAGCAACAGACACTGACTGATCGGGCTGAATCACCTTCAGTTCCTTCTCTGTGGCTCCTGGAAAGAAAGAGGCAGCCAAGACTCAGCATAAGGGATCCCGCAAGCTCAAGTTTATCAATGATTTTCACTGACTGAGCACACACAACAGCACTGAGTTCAGCACAGCGCAAGTGTTATCGTGTTTAACCCTTCTGTGGGCCTGTGGCTCAAGACTGTAAGAAGAAAACTAAGGCACGGGGTGCTAAGTCACATAGCTGCAGCAGAGTGTCCAAGCCCTTTGTGAAAGTGTCATGTCCGATACGGCTCTGGGATTCAAATCTGAATGTGTCAGTTAGAATGGGAGCCCGGATTCCTCACAGAGGGCACAAACTCAGAAGAGATGCAGAAGTAGGAGACCCCAGTATGTGTGGTACTTTTCAAAGAGGTAGAAAGTATTGGGAAGGGAGTCCTGAGCAGAGCACCCGCTCTCAGCAGTCTGGTGGGTAGGAGAGCTGAAGACAGGAGCCCTAGGTGTGGTTCAGTAGCCTATGGCTCATTTCTTGGAGTCATCAATAGGTCAACAGAGAAGGCCCAGGTACTCACCCACTGCCAAGTAATACAGGGATGTGCCCGCTGCCAAGTGATATAGGGATGTGCCCACTGCCAAGTGATACAGGGATGTGCCCGCTACCAAGTGATACAGGGATGTGCCCACTGCCAAGTGATACAGGGATGTGCCTGCTGCTAAATGATGCAGGGATGTGATTGTGGCTTCAGCTTGGTTGGGCTTTTCTGTGGTCCCTGGCCTTCGTTTCTTCAGCTGTAAAATGTTTAGCATGAGCCCGTCTTGATGTACTTCTGATAGGAACAAACAAGCTAAGGCCGGTGAGTAAGTTAAAAAGCAGCATCTAGGGGCCGAAGGATGATGACTCAGTGGATAAAGTCCTTGCCATCCAAGCACAGTGGCCTAACTACCTTGCTGAATGACGGTTTGCTGAATGGACGTGGAACACGAGCATTTGGACACACAGACATCAGAGACACAATGAGTGGTCCAGAGAGGGGGACAGGATGAGGGCAGGAGAGGGAGGATGGCAACAGCAAGGGTGGCAGACTGGAGCAGTGAGTCGGGTGATGGCCGTCCCAGCTGGACCCTCCACCGGCTTCTAATGTGACCCTGTAGGACTGTAGCAGAATCCTTGGGCAGACCCTCTTGCGTTGGCTGGGTAAAAGGGACACTGTGTGTTTGCCCACCAGCCCACGGCCGGGTACTGCTGCACTGGCAAAAGGGAGGAGAGAGCCTAAGGCAAGAGAGACCCACAGATCAGCCCTCCCCTCACTGCAGGTACCCAGAGCCTGTCATCAGTGGCTCACTGGCCTGCCTCATCCTCTTACCCAGCCAGGGCCCCATGGCTGATCTGTAGAACTCAGGGGCTCAGCCAGCACCATCCAGCCTAGAAGGGGTAGGGCTGGTGGCCAGGCAAGTGACAGAAACAAGGAGGGAACAGGCCTGAAGGGACAGGAAGCCTCCCGAGGGCTTCAGTGACGTCACCAGCTACCGCCAATAGCAGAGATCCATGAGCTTTCCCGTGGGCGTACAGTTAGCCATGGGAGACCGGTTGAACTGGAACCACCACGTGTAAGAAGCACAGGCCTGGGCGAGGACAGGGCCCCTTCACCAGCTCGGTATTCCTAAATGGACTCCCATTCAATCAGGGGTGAGCAGGGAACCGGTATCTACCCACTGCTTTGTCATGAAGATTGCTCCAGACCTATATAAGCACTTACTGTATACCTGCTGGCTCAATTCTAGTTCTAAACCTTATCATCACACTGCTGTATTCTTTCTACATCTGAGTTGCTGTCAATTGTTATTTTCTCCCACCATCAGGACGGCAGATCCACTAGGCACAGTTTCTTGACGTCCGCCTGGTATACACTGTGTCCTCAATAGAAATATGCCCAAGAGGCAAGTGGATCTCTGCGGTCTCCAGCCCCGCTAAGAAGACCCTGTCCCCAAACCACGTCTAAGCTGAAGGAACACACTGACGAACCAGAAAGAAGGGGTTTTATTGGCTTCTCCGTGACCCTGGCAAAACCCGGAGCCTCTTCCTTCATCTGTTCAGTGGTGCTAACATTGGCTACCCAGGAGCTGGCGCTCCGTTATTATCCTCAACGGTGCACAGAACTGTGAGTCAGCAGCTGATGAGGGAGCTGCGCTCACGGGGAACTTGGGAGTCGGGCGCTGACAAGTTGGAGCAGGGCTATTCTTGTGGTGCAGCTAGAGGCCTGTAATCACACCCCAGGCAGGTGTGATTAAAATCTGGGCTGGGGAGGGATGGCTCCTCCCCATAACCCCCATCCTTTTTTTGTCAGCTCCTCCGGAGATCTCAACCAACCGCAAGCAGATTTAGGCAGCTTAATTAATTAGCTAGTGTTTCTAAAGCGTTTGAAGAATTTTAAAAGTGTGATGTGAGTGCCAAACATTATTTTAATCTCTGTGTGTATTTTCCAACTGTTTTTTTTTAATTTATTTGTTTGTTTGTTTGTTTTCTTTTCATTTTGCTTGCTTACTTGCTTTTTTATTTTTATTTACTTTTTTTTTGCTCTGCAGGTTCTGTTCTGGGAACTGAGCTTGTTAAAAATCACTCGTGTGGGCCAGGCCCAGGGTCATCACACTGGCATTACCAATGAAACCATTTTCGGCGCTCCTTGGCCCCCCTAGCAGAGAGCACAGCCAGCCATTCTGGGGCCTAAACTAGACAGGATCCGTGCAGGTGTTTTCACACACTGCAGGTTTTTTTGGGGGGATGGAGCAGTTCTGCAGGGTGGGGCAAGCACCGCAAAAGCCACTCACCAACGTGTGCTCGGCAGTTCCTTGAGGACCCAGTCACAGACACAGGCGGGTCTCCCCCATACAGACTTGAAAATGTGTGGAAACAACCCAAAGGGCAAATGACGGAGATGAGGAAGTGGATGATTGCTTATCCCATAGGTGAATTTTAGGCAAACTGTGATAACATGAGCAGTTTTCATGGCACAATTTAAAATAACATGGCGGCTATGCAAAAACAAGAAACAAACAGACCTATTGAAAAGCATTTAAAATAAACTTTTTGTTTGTCTAAAAACTAAGCAATATCTGTACTCAGAGTTTGAGTAGGTATTGATCCTTCAGACGTCCTGGATTTGGTTCCCAGCACCCACATGGAAGCTCACAATCACCTGTAACCCCAGGAAGATATAATGCCTCCTTCTGGGACCTGCACTCACACACACACACACACTCTTCCCTCATACACACATAATTTAAAATAGAATATATCTTTTAAAAAGCCTCATTGATGGCTCACGCCTTTAAGCCTGGCACTCAGGAGATAGGGACAGAAGCAACCGGATCTCTGAGAGTTCAAGGCCAGGCTGGTCTACAAAGTGAGTCCAGGACATCCAGGGCTACACAAAGAAACCCTGTTTCAAACAAAACAAAACAAAAAAGCATCACAAAGATAAACCTATCAAAAATATCTACAGTCAACACATTGATGTTCTGTAGTTAAATAAGTAAATAAAAACAACAAATTCACACCTTCTGATAACTAAGGTTATGTGCAAAGACTCTGCACCCATCACTCAGGTATCCTTAGAACAATGGGAACTTCTGGGTATCAACATCCAAGGAAAGAGAGTATCGAATCCCACTGTAAAGCCATCTGAGGACTAAATCCACAACCCTGAAAGACTGTACAGAATCCCAACAAAGCATGCTGACCATCAGGGTTATTGAGTAACATCTGGTTTCATCCGAAACCTTGAGTTTCAAGAGGGAAAAGGTATTTAAAAAAAAAAGTTAAGGGTTTTTTATCCGGAGCTGTAGACACAGTGATAATGGGTTGAATTGTCTAAAGGAAGTTTATTAGAGATTGCTTGTGGGTGGCGATTTCTGTGGGGTTTGCTTCCGTTTGTACTGCCTGTTTGCCGCTCCTGTGAAACTGGAGTCTAAGGAGTCTGTATTTTCAGTGTGACTGTGGCTCTGTAAAGTCGATGAACACACCCAAGATGCTATCCAAAGTATACAGCTGTCTATGGACTATGGATCTGCGACTGATAAAGCTGCTTTTTCTTTTTTAATTTCTACCTTGGATAGTTTCAGATTTTCTAGGTTGGGTGAACAGTAAGGATCACATACAGCTGTTTGAGGGCCTCTGTGAAAGAGCACTTGCTTGGCAAGCCTGAGGCCCAGAGCATTTACTTAGCATCCGTGAGGACCAGCGCCGGCCCACAATGGCAGAAGGATGCATACAGTGTCTCATTGTGTTTAAAGAGAACCATACATGTAACATGCATGTCCCGCATGTGTCTGCTGGTTGAACGAACGCTCTTAGGCAATTCAGGCCATTATCACTGTGTCCTGGCTCTTGATAATTGTGCCTCTGACAGAGCATCTGCTCAGTACACATCTGCTGGTGTGCTGAGCAGCCACATGTCTAGAGAAAGGGGCCTGGATCAGTAAAATCAGCACCTCCGTGTGCTAGGGCTCCATGTGGGGGTGAGGCAGGGTGGGAAGGAAAAGCCACTTTCTCATCACTGTACAGTAACTACAACATTGAATATATTAGTCTTTCTTTCTGTGGCTAACGTAATGCTTTGGGGAAAGATACAAATAATGAGCCCATGAGTGAGGGGAGGGCTAACTACCCTGAGTGTTTGCTGCTGTGGAAGGCAGGGATGAAGCACGGGCTCCCTGTGGACCGAGGGCCACGTGGCTATGTCTGTGGCACACTAGTTATGAAATAAGATTTTGAAGGAGTCACGAATGTGAGTACATTCAGAAGGAACTCCAACCCGACGATAAAACAGCTCCTGCTAGCTACTCTAATTGCATCCTCTAGCCCCATCCCACTCCCAGTGACCACTGTCCCATCACTGGCGTCCTTTTCTCCTTTTGCTGGCCAAAGTGTCAACTGCCTAACCAGTGTGCTGAATGCTGCCGCCCTCTGCGGTAAGGAGAGGGACTGAGCTGACAAGGCTTAGAAAGCATATTACGTTTTTAAACACAGCAATATTCATGTGTAGCTTTG